TTTCTATCAGCTCCAGACTTCTGAGGAGAGAATCAGGAGCTGGTCACCTGCAGAAGGCAGCTATCAGGCTCTCAGAGTGAAGTGCTTCAGTCTTTCCATCCACTCAAACTTCTCAAGTATTTTCTCCAAGTAGCCAGACATGGTTGTGTACACCTGTAATCCCAGCACTTGGGAGGCTGAGGCAGAAGGATCACTGCGAGGTTGAGGCCAGTCTGGGCTACAAAGTGATGGGGGCTGGGGATTTAGCTCAGCGGCAAAGGCGCATGCCTGGCAAGCGCAAGGTCGTGAGTTCGGTTCCTGGTACCGGAGAAAAACAAAAACAAAAAAAACAAACAAACAAAGTGAGCTCAAGGCCAGCCTGAACTGCATAGAGAGACTCTGTCTCAAAAAGACCAAAAAAAAAAAGAATTTTCTCCAAAGAAATCCTTCTTATTTTTCTTTAATATCACCCAAGCTAAGGATTCTGATAAAGGTGAGAGAGTTCTATCATTGCATAATTTGATCTTAGTTAACTTTTATAAATTCCATGTTTATAAGGCAATAAACATCAAGCCTCAGATTTCACATGGAACTCTAACTTACCTCTCATATCTAATAGCTCCTATCTACCTATCTAATTATCTACTAGGTACCAAACTTCAGAGCCAGCATTCTCACTGCTTACTTCCTTATTCTAAAGTTTCAAATGAAATGAATCAAATGTCTTGCTAGGGGATCTTTTTAAAGTGCTTTATCACAAGTTAATTTAGATTCTTTGTCCTGGTCACAGGAGCTGAGGAGCTGGCTGTGGCAGTGCGGGACCTGGAGGTGTCGTTGCGTAGTGGGTCAAACAAAACTGTTCCCCATGGTCCAGGTGTCCCATACACATGGAACTTTGTTTTGGGACCTGAGTGGAGACTGAGTAGTCTGAAGTAGCACAAATGATCTCAGCCAAAAGGCTCTGAGCTTTGATTCTTGGAGATGGCACTCGTGAGTTATTAGACTCCTTATTGTTTCACAAAAATCTAGTCAGACTTTATTTCAAATTAACATGTTCATTACAATATCTTTTATATCTAAATTTAATTTTCCATTCCTATATTCCTATATAGGTCTATTTTCCTAGGACAGCTTGTTAATGAATCTCAGCTGAGGTTCACTATATTTAGAGAAGTGCACTGTTTACACATGCAAGTTTGCAAATAGCTTCATGGAATTACTCACCTCCCAAGCCATCTTTGAGTCTTCATTTATAACTTAAGGAGGTCTCTTTCATAGACTGGACTGAGTGGTATCAACTAATATCCTGAGGAAGGCAAGATGAGTGTGTGTATCATTTCACATTTTTACACTGAACATGTTGTCAAACATTTTATTAAGTGTTTACTATATGCAAAGAATTTTTAAAAACACTTATATTACATTATCTCATTTATTATTCTTTACTACACTTTCAAGTATCTACTATTCTTACACCCACTTTACAGATGAGAATGTTTAAAGGTTTAGTGACATTATATAAAGTCACACCCTGTGACAGACCCAGATTGAACAAATTCCAGTAAGTCTCCTAAAAAAGGCACTACACTACTTTTCTGCACCCTCTTCTTCTGTGATTTTGGCTTCATGAATATTTCCCTAATCTCTGCATTGGTCAGTATAGGCTATATTATAGCACAATCACAGGTGAACCACCAACTTCCAGTGGCTAAGAGCAATGAAAGTTTATTACTCTGACATAAAAGTTCATGTGGACGTGTCAGCTTTTCTGTCGTATAGATATGCCATCTGGAATGGGTGGCCTTCAAAGTATACACTTCAAAGGAAGAGATGGGGTAACAGAATGGAATTGATAGCTTTTATCATCTTAAAAGAAATGTACAATGTATACAATCTGGCTTACAGATTAAGAAATCTCATCATCTTTATACCTGTCACCACCATCACAGAATAATACATTATATTTCAAAGCAAATTGAAGGAGTACATTTTGCTAAATATTACATAAGCACCAGCATTCCTTGAATAATATTTTTCAATCTTTCCAT